TAGAATTTAAACAAAAAAATACATATCAAGTGAACGAAATATAAACAAACCGTTCTATAAAAATCCTCAGAATATAGATAGGAATAAAGCTGTAAGTTTTGGTTTATGCAAGTGCTGCTGAAGTGGAGAAAAACTCATTTTGACTAATTTGCCTTTAAAAGGTATGTACTGTTAAATCTACAGACGTAAATAGATAAAGTTCAATAATAAAACCAGGGGAATGATATATGTGCAAACATTTAATTAAATTTGCCTGCCTGCATGCAAACCGCCAAAATAAAAGCTCAAAGTTTTAAAAACATTTGAAAAAAATAAAATATAATTAATATTAGTAATTTAACTTTACAGTTTGCAGAATTAAATACATGTTTTATTAAATAATTTGTTATTCCACAGTATAACTGTATAATTTCAATGTACTTTTTATATTGTTTAATGTACAATAATCACAATACTCATTTTCAATGGGTCAAAAACAATGGAAATGTGGCCTATGAAAAGCTTGGGGAAAAATGTTTACTTTATGGTTTAATTTTATATTTTTTCTTTATTTATTTTTTCAAAATAGTTTCGTCCTAAAAAGATGGGTTGCACTCGGAAAGAAAAAAAGTAAAAGTTATTTTTCAGCTTTATTAATAAATGTTTTCAAATCATCTGGAATTTCCTGTATTGTAATGTTGTAATTTTTTTTTACTATTGTGCAGCCTTAAAAAGTTGTAATCTTTAAAATGACCCGATTTGTTATATTAATATAAAATAATTTTGTCTATTATAAACATTTCTAAACATCGTTAAAACTAAACAGAAAAGAGAAGTAGCATAATAAAAGTCAACACGAAACCCTGAAAAATAAGATGTTATTTAACTTTTACATTATTTTGAAGATATTGATTAGAAATAGCATGCTTGCACCGTAATCAGTCCCGTATGAAAGCAGCAGCTCTGTGCAGGACAAAAGGCAGATGGTTAAACAATGTCTCCTCAAAGCGTTGAGCGATACGGTATCCGTTTACCAGCATGTAACAAAGGCTCGTCGCAGCTGCCACTTCAGACGCATTATAAAGCAGATTCACATTCACGCTGACCAGGAAAAACAAACCGGTGAATGCCAAGGTCAACGAGACGGTACAGTGATACGAGCGCAAAAACCCTTATCCTGCTAGGTGTCCAGTTTAGCATTGCTGGTTAAGCTAGTAAAGAAAACTGTTGTTGACAAGCAAGTCTTTTCAGCAGGGCAGAGGAACAGAAAAACAAATAAAAGAAACCTTTAGAATTATGCATTTGTGTGTATATATATTAGTGCTGTCAAACGATTAATCGCGATTAATCACATCCAAAATAAGCTTTTGGTTACATATTAATATTTATACATAAATAAATATTTCACTGAACAAAACAAATAAAAATAAACAACTATGAATATTTATAATTACTTATATGTGTATATATATACACACACACACTCAAAGTACATTCATTTGATCAGGTTTTGTTTCCCCTGAGGTTCAA